GATGCAGGTGCCAGAGGACGAAGAGCCCGCGGCCGCACCAAGGGCCGAGGTAAATATGCTTTTCCACCCCTGGCGCGCACGCCGCGCCGACGCCCGCCCCAGCTCCTTGGCGCCGCGCGCCCTGCGCTCATGGCACAAGATGATATGAGAAAGAGTCTTCGCCATGAGTTCCTGCACGGTCGACCAGCGGTCGCAGTTGACCGAATGAATGCAGAGCTCCAGGTTTCCAGGGGGGCCGCGGCAGAGGCATCCGCGGGGCCCCCAGAGCACCCGAGGAAACAAAACTCACCAGGGGGTCCGAGGGGCCGCTGAAGAACTTGACAGGGCTACACGGCCGTAAGTCCACAAGCACAGGGCATTCATCGCAAGGATTGGCGAATCCAGAAAAATTGCGCCTCGCAAGAAGCAGCGTTGCGCACCAACCGAGAGAAATAAGTGGAGCTCGACGCCAACGCGCGTTTGGCTCGCCACAACGCGTGCTTCGCCGCGCCTCTGAGAGACGAATGAGACCTCTGAAAAACTGACGGCCGCTTGGCAGTCGAAGGGGCCCAGCGGCCTCGCCGACAGGCAAAAGATCTCACGCTGCACGCGGCGCCCACACAACCTGCATCGAAATCGAAGTCCCCCAGCGGAGGTAGCGCCCCACATTCCAGGGTCCCCGAGAAGTTTCGGGCAAAAGGTGGCGACTGCACAAGGGGGCCCCCAGGGCTCCTAAACGTCCCCGGCAGGCCCCGCAGGCAAGGAAAGGAGTCAAGGCCCCCCTCGGAAGACGCCCAAGACTCAAACGAATGGCCCTGGAACGCTGAGACACCTGGCGCCAGAAAGAGGGAGAGAGAGAGAGAGAAAGAGAAAGAAAGAGAGGGAGAGAGAGAGAGAGAGAGAAAGAGAGAGAGAGAGGGAGAGAGAGAGAGAGAGAGAGAGAGAGAGAGAGAGAGAAAACAAAGAGAGAGAGAGAGAGAGAGAGAGAGAGATAATGAGAGAGAGATATATATATAGGGAGAGCGAGCAGACACCCGCACCGTCATCAGCCCACGGGCGTCCTCGACGAGCACGAACGCATCCTGGTAGCGCGGAGAGAGGTACGTCGCAGCCTCCGATATGTGTGCCTCCCTGCCAGCCCTCGCGCACTGGCAGGGCGCGCAACTTGTTCAGACGGACATTGCATGCTCCTGGCTGCCCTGGCGCGAACGAGCTGCTGGGGCGCCTGCGTCCGAAGTCTCCGCGCCCAGACGCGCTGGCATCAAGATCGTCCTGCGGATGTCCAAGAGCGCTGGTGCCCTGCGTCTCCTCTCCCTCGCCAAGCGCAACGGTAGCTTCAGGCTCGGCGACCTTCCGCTTACTGGCAAGGCGCCCGAGGTGCCCCTTATGCGCCTCCTTGATATTGTTGGCCGTCTCCGTCGCCTGTGAGAAAAGTTTCTGCGCCAGCTCTTGGATGCCATCGCGCAGCTGCTTGCCCCTCGCCTCGAGCTCCTTTTGGTCGGCCTGGGGCAGCTCGAAGTCCTCGATGCCAACCAGCAACCCCGAGGGGTCATGTCCAGCTGCTGCAAAACGGTGCCGTCCATGATCGAAGCCGCGGAGCAGGGCACTGACTTCGCCTCGCCGTCCTTCTGACGGGGCTGGATCGTCTGCTCGTGCAAGGCTGCGACAAGGCGGCGACGCTAAGCCTCCGCAGCCCCCGCCTCCTCAGTGAGCTTGGTGACAGGCCCTTCTGCCCAACCATCTGCACCGACCACTCCTCGAATCGCTGCATTGCACCTTGAAGCTTGCGTTCGAGGCCGCGAAGCTTGCTGTGGGCCATGGGCACCTGATGGTGCAGCGCGGGCTCCTTCGCGGCGGGCGGGGGCTTGGCCAGCTGACGGTGCCGCGCTGCTCCCAGCGCATCGCCAGACTTGGCCAGAAGCTGAGCCAGCGCCGCATGCTCTTCGCGGGAGACAGCGGTGGCGGGAGCACGAGCTTGGGCCGCAGGAGCCGCAGCACCCTCGCCACCTCCGCTGTCGGCAAGAGCGAAGCACCCAGGCGGACCAGAGGAAGCGAAGGGCGAGAAAATGCCAGCTCCGCCACCGAGACAATTCGACCATACTCAACCAAGGGCCCCGAACATGGAAGGCGAGCACGGCTGGAACGGGGCCCACTCGGTGCCGCAGTGCTTGCAGCGCCTCCAGCGCATCTCGTTCTTCTTGCAGCCGCAAGTCGCACAGGTCCAAAGGGCTGGCTAAGCAGGGCCTTGGAGTCCAGGCGCACGCGCAACCCAAGGTGGAGGAGCAGAATAGCCACCAGGGTACAGCGCGAGTTCCTTCTCGAGGTCGGCAGCAGACGGGAAACGCTGGCCTCCTTCGCCTTGCTTGCCGACATCTGCAATACCAGACTTGCCCCTGCCGCCTTTCCAGATGGCGGCGGAATGATGTGAAAGAAAGCGTGAGGGAACGGCCCTCAACCGAAGCTTGATGACTCGAAGGCACAAAATGCCGTTTTGAATCGTTGTACCCGCAACGCTCAATGGCTTGAGCGCACAACGGCTTGAGCCAAAATGGTCACGGTGGAGTTGCGAGGATGTGTCTCAGGCGAAACAAGCTGCACCACCACTGGTCAAAGGCCCTTTGAGCCCGCGCGCGACAACGCGGTGCCCGGAGTTGCGATGATGTCTGTCAAAATTAGCCGGTCCACTTCCCACGCGGCATCTCGGAACCCAGCGCTGCGAGGATGTCTCAAGCGAGTTTGGCTTGACCACCTCGCGCCGGGCTTCTCGGATTTCAGAGTTGCGAGAGTGCCCCTGGCGAGTTGGGCCAGACAACCTCAGGTCAGGGCATATCTGACCCCAGAGTTGCGAGGATGTCCCAGGCGAATCGGGCTGGACCTACTTAGGTCCGATCAGATCCGGTCCCAGAGCTGCGATGGTGTCTCTGGCTAAAATGGGTCAGGCCACCTCTGGAAAGGTATCTCTGATAGCCGAGAAGTGCAAGCGTGTCTCAGGCGAAATGGGCCAGACCACATCAAGCCAGGACATATCTGAGCCTGGAGCTGCACGGATCCTCGGGCGAGCCGAGCCGCACCTCTTCGCGCGCGGCATCTAGGATGCCCCGAATTGCGAATATGTCAAAGGAAATTGGCCAGACCACCTCGCGCGCGGCATCTCGCAGAGTTGGGAGGAAATATTAGGGGAGAACGTCTGAAGCAACATTGCCCAAATCACTTCGCGCGCAACATGTCAAAGCCCCGAGGTGCGAGAATGTCTGAAGCGAAACGGGCTGGAATTCCTCAGGTTAAGGGCATCTCTGAGCTCTGAGTTGCGAGGATGTCTCAGGCAAAACGGACCCGACCACCTCGCGCGTGGCATCTTGGATCCCAAAAAGGTGAGGATTTCGCAGAAAAAAAGGGCCAAACAGCCTTGCCCGTGGCAGATCGGAATCCAGAGTCGCGAGGATCTCTGAACGAAATGTAGTGCAGCGCAATGGGAAGTGATTGCGACAGAAATGCAATCCCATGCGTTGTAATGCACTGCCGTGCAATGCAATGTACTGGCACTCCATGCAAGGGCAATGCATATGGAAAATGTAAGTGCCGGTGGGCATAGGACAAAGGCTTCCACTCTAGGGAATGCTGGATAAAGAGAGGGAGAAAAGGAGCACGATGAGGAGGAGGAAGAGGATGTGGAGTTGTTTTCCAGAGCATCTCATGCAATTTGGCATGAACTACAATGCAACACCAGTAGCAGGAGGCGGGGCTCGCCAATACTGGACCTCCGAGGGGGCTTTGTCAACCCTGTACCAAGGAGCGCCTGGCTCTTCTGGGGTGGGGGCACGGGAGGAGTCGACATGGAAGGGGCCCTGCTTTCCGTGATTGTATGTCACGATGCAGCGGTTGCCAGGATACCTCGTGCCCTGGGCAAGCCCCAATCTGTCGCAATCCTGAGGTGCCAGGCTGTCTCCAAGATATTTTTGTTGCAGCCGCAAGCGAAAGCGCAGGCGGCGTCAAATGAGACGGGCGGGCCGCGCGCGAACCTAATTGCCTAACGCGCCAACAAGCAGAGGCCTAGGCGGCACCTCAGATCTCCGGAAGCGGGAGGCGGTGCGGGCTGCAGCTGCCAAGAACCAGGTCCCGGAACGAGCACATGCAAATTAGCCAACCGATGTTGAGGCGCAGCCAAAATGGCTCGGGACATCTTCAAGATGCGCGAAGCGTGCAGAATTTGGATCCCTTCAGGGGGGCAACTGCCTTCCCAACCCTCCTGTGTCGGCTTCTCGTTTGGGACAGAGCACAGTGGTCTACACCCTCCCACTCGTCATCCTCCTCGCGGCTACCTGGGGGGGGCGGCGAACTGTGCCAATGCCGCCGCGTCCGCGGGCCACCTCGCGGCTCCCTGGGGCTGCCAGCCACGCAACTGCTGCAACGTTCGTGGGCTCCTGGGAGGTCCAGCGGGGTGGAAGGGCACGCAGACCCAGCCGATGGAGCGCGGCTCCCCTGGGGGGCTGCGAAGTGCGCAACCGTCGTCACGTTCGTGGGATCATGGGTAGTCCAGCGGAACGGAGGGGCACGCAGACCCAGCCGATAGCGCGCGGCTCCATGGGGGGGCTGCGAAAGGCGCAACTGTCGCCACGTCTGTGGGCTCATGGGGGGTCCAGCGGACTGGAGGGGCTTGTAGACCCAGCCGAGACCTCGCCGCTCACAAGTAGCCAAAGCCAACCTCAAAAAGCACACAAGGTAGCCCAAGATGGTTCAATATAGCTTCCATCATGCTTCCAAGAAGCCCCATAGATGCTTCCATCATGCTTCATAGATGGCCAAAAAAAAGCCCCAGCCAAGAGCGCCTCAAGAGGCGGGTTCGAAGGCCCCAGGAACCGAAGGGGGAACTGTCGTGAGGGCCACCCAATGTTTGATCGATGGCCTCCAAGATGGCCCCAAGGCCACCAAGAAGGCCCCACGAGAGCCCATGATGGCCCCACAAAGGGGCCCAGGGGAGCCCCAAAGGCCTCCAACATGTCTCCAAGAAGGCCCCACGATGCCTCAAAGAAACACCCACGCGTGACGGCATGCTGCTAAACATCCCCGGTCAGGGCAACTCGCTTTGTGATTGCTTTTTGATGGGCTGGTGGGGATACGCAAACTCGGAGTTTCTTACTGAGCGTCGGGGGGGCGTCACCCCTGCCGACAGTCCGACATCGACCCCCGTCGCGAGCAGTCACCGCGCGCCGAAGGCGCTCCGACCCCCGTCGCGGCGCGACGACGAGGCGAGGTTGACGCCCGTCGGGGGGTTGACTCACCCACGCTTAATAAGAAACTCAGAGAAGCAGCAAGAATATGTGTAAGATCGCCGCCCGTACCGCACACTGTGCTGGGCATTCTCGTGCCCAAGAAGAGGTCCTGCTCACTGCGTGGGCCGGTGACGGCACGAGGGAGACCGGGTGGCCTTCTTGCAGCAGGGCGGCAGCCATACGGCTATACATGTGCACTGGCAATGGCCAGGCCCAGCATGGTCCCATGCTCAGCAAATGCGCACTCCTGGCCTGATCAAGGAATCATATACGATGGGCCTGGTCGAGGTCGGTGTACATGTGTATCTGTCGTTCTGTTCTCAGACGTGAAAGCAGACTGGCAACAACAGCACAACCGCTTGCCCTCATCTCAAGAATCACGAAGAGCCAACCCGATCTCGTGCATGACGACCCGCTGCAGCTCGTTGCGCACGGCCGTGTCCAGTGTGCTGTAGGTGCCCTGCATGCTCTCGATCATGCTCTTAATGTTGTTCTCGTCCTCAGCGAAGGATGCCTTTGCCTTCTTTGAGTCGACCGTAATTGCGGATTTCAACTGGCCTAGGCCCCCCTTGAGGAGCTTATCGATCTCCACGGACGCCGATTCTGGTAGAACTACTTCGAACGGAAGCTTCTCTGTCGAAACCGTGTAGACCTCGAAGAGGCACCACAATCTCGAAACATACCTAGAATCTGCGACCTTATCCATCAAAGCGACCATCCTTCCGACGTTCCGTAGTTGCGTGCTAAATACCGCCTTCAAGGTGAAGAAATCTTGCTGCTGCTTGCTTCCCAGAATGCGGAACTGATTGTTCCCGAAAAAACACCACCACAAGAAACACTTCTCCGGATGCGCTTGCCTCTCCTGGTATTTTCGTAGGGCACTCAGCACCAAACTCAACTTGTACTGCCAAAACCAAGATAAGAACATTGTTGCCCTAGCGCTTGCCCCCCTGCTGTGCACTGCGTCCACGATGCTGCAATCAAGCTTGCCATCTCGTGGGCATATGATCCCTTTTCCGTAGGCAACTTCGCCATGTGCGACAATATCTGCCAACTCAATAAAATTCAGGTGATGTACATCCGTATCTGCAACCGTCAAGGACCTGTCTTCAACGGTGGATCTGACCGGCTTTGACAGTGCCTGTTTGAGGAGACGTCCCTTCATCTCTCGAGCTTCGTCAGGAAAAATACGGATTGCAAATTCGAGACTGATGCCCAACATGCGGGACCGATCCGAAACATCTTGCATAACCACCGGCGGCTGCTCCGGCATCTCATGCTCCGGCATCTCGTTCCCGTTACCGACCTCCGACTCCGACAATACAACATCCCCCATAACAGCCGGCGAGGCGGCAAGGCGGCGACCGCGATTCCAAAGAAATGTCACAGCCATCAGAACGGCAATCACAAACGACGCACCTGCGATGGCAACGACTATGACAATCGTGTCTGCGGACGAGACGTCGGCAACTGTGGCCGCTGGCTGGCTTTCACCTGCTGTGCTGGCAACCGTGGTGGTGGAACTTGCCGTGCTGGAGGAACGTGTTGCCATGTCCGTGGTAGTGGGGCTGATTGTGATCGCGACCAACGTCGGGTTGGCTACGGTGGGAGCCGTCATCGTAGGAGCCACAGTGATCACTGACTCGCCACTCCAATCAGCTTCAGCCATGGCGCTGTCAGTCGCCGCCTTGATAGCGGCAGAGGCTCCAGCAATCCTGGTGGAGACTGCGGTGGCAGCGCTGGTGCTGGCGGTCTTCACCTCGAAGCTGGTTGTCACAGAGACTGTGTCCGAGAGCCGGCGGACAGCAGTGGAGAGTCGACGAGCACCCAAGGCGAAGCCTGTGATGGTAAGGTCGGAGGCGGGCACGGACAGAGCAACCTCCAGACCCTTCTTCTTCGCGGTCTTGTAGACAATGGAAGACATGAGGTCAGATTCTTTTACATCAAGCGGAAGAGTTTCGTCCGCAGTGTACTCAGCAACAACCTGGACCACAGCAGCACTGCCATCTCCAGACATGTGGGACACAACTGTTCCCATCGCGTGAGAAACAGTGGCTTCCGACGTGTGGGAAACAGTGGTTTCCGTATGGGAAGTCGTGGTTCCCGTCACGTGGGAAGTAGTTGTGCTAGTGGTTTCGCTGCTGCTAGTGGGCGTTGTGCTGATCGGCGGCCGGTACCAAATCTTATATGATATATGAGAGAAGAACTCTTCAGCGCAAGAGTCGAAAGCCAAAAAACACGAACCGTCGAGGAAAGGGGAGCCCCAGATCGCGACGCACCGGTCCTCCTGAATACATGACTGAATGCAGGCGTCGAACCCAATCAGGCCAAGAGATTGTGTCTCTGCACTTGAATCACAAGCACGTTGAAATGAAGACGTATCCCAGTCGCTGCCAGGGCGGTACCATACCCTGTATGATGTTTGTGTCCCTGCTGCGGCGGCGACTTCAGTGCAATAGTCATATGTCAGCCAGCACGAACCGTCGCCGAGGGGGGCACCCCAGAAAGCGACGCATCGGTCCTCCTCGATACATAAGGCCTTGCAGAGGTCGAAATACACTACGCCCTGGTAAGGTCTAAGTGGGCCTGCGTCACACTTCCGCGTCAATGAAGATCTAGCCCACGGGATGTCGCTGACCGGGCGGTACCATACCTTGTAGGCAGCAAACTGGGAAGCCACTTCAGCGCAAGAGTCCAACGCCAAGTAACACGAACCGTCGTTCTGCGGAGCGCCCCAGAACGCGACGCATTGGGGCTCCGCACTACATCGCTGCCGGCAAAGGTCGAATCCACAGTTTTCGTATACGTATGTGCCATCGCACATCCGTTGCGATGAAGACACGACCCATGTGTCATCCGTACTTGCACTGGCACGCATGTAAGCGCGCAGAAGCAGGGCCGCTGCAACCCACGGGAACCCCTTGGTGACTCGGCCGCGGCGCCCCATGGCATGCGCGCGAGGGCGGGCGCGAATCCGGGGCGGGCGCACGGAACCCACACTTGCATGAGCCACACAGTGAATACGGGCGGGAGACCTGGACGCCTGAGTTCTCGGGCGGTGGCTTCCGTGGGGCCCCGTTCCCTCTGGAGCCCCCGATGACCTGGAAATGGTGGGCGCAGAAGCGGACCAAAGCAATTTACCCGATGCGGCTTGTGCAACCTTCTGCCTTTGTCGCCTCCGCGGCGAATGCCCACCCCGTCTCTGCAAAGCGGGCGCGTCGCTGTTTGCGTTGTTCTTCCTCCTCCCCCCGGGCTCAAACGGCCATCCATGGGTCATTTGGAGACCGTAAATACTGCGGTTGGATTTCCCGGAGCCCTTTCGATGGGGCGGTCTCCCTCACTGCACCGCCCAGGCTGTCTTGAGCGGCGTGGCGACAGTCAGGATTCGCTCTGGATGCCATCTTGGACCAACGCTGGGATTGGAGGCTGGGGAAGTGTAGGCTTCTTCGAAGCAGACCCCGACAGCAGCGACGGGTTGCGAAGCTGTTCGCGCGGTCCCAAATCATTAATTCGGTTGATAGCTCGGGCGCGCGCTACCATGGATTTACGGATCCATGGATATGGCGCAAGGGCGCTAACTCCATGGATTCTGCACGGAAGCGGAAACCGTTACTAACCCACGCGCATTAATACATGCTTGCATGTCCTCGACCTTGGTCGTTTGGCATATGGTGGGAACAGCTATCCTGTTCCTCCCCCTGCAGCGGCGATCGGAACCTGTAGGGGTTTGTGGTGTCGTTGTGCCGCGGTGTCGTCAAAGTGCCGCCACCTTCGCGTCACATGGCACGGCATTGCGTTGCGTGTAGGTTGGGCATGTGGAGTCTCGCGCAAACGCCTCCATAAAGCCAAAGAGGCCTCAAACTGTGAATGAGCTGTGCTTCCCCCCACCCTCCTGTATGGAATCGGGCCCTCGTTTCGAATCCGCAACACCGCGTGTCTCCTCTCGTTTCTTCCTCACCCTTCCTTCTGTTGCGGCTGCCGTCCACATGTCAATTCCGGGGGAAGCATTGGTTCACGGACGCTCTGCTGACAAATATTTTGGGGGTGCTCCCAAAATCATAAATCCCCCCCTCGCCAAACACCCCCTACATAAACCGGCCCTCCGCGCAAAGGGGTGCGGAAGAGGCACGCCCCCATCCCCACCCCCCGCGCAAGGGGAGTGGGGACTTCACCCCACGGCCCCTTCACGACGGGCAACCGACGGACGACCGACGACGACGCACCAGTCGGCGTCGTCGTCGTCGTTCGTCGTCTTTCGCCAACGCGAAGGCACGGGGGTGCACGACAACACCCCCTTACAACCCCCCTTTTCGCGGAGTCCCAAAAATAAGCCCGCCCGCACCCCCCGTCTTTCCTGCAACCGACACCAGACAACGCCAACGCCAAGCCTCTCTTTGGAGCGAGCGCCGCTGACGACTACTGCCAGGCAGCGAACGAGTTTTGACCAGAGCGTTCACCGGAACGCAAGATGAGCGACGTCGGCGGGCGAGAACTGCTCGGTCGCCTCCGAACAGTGCGGAAGGCGGGTTGCGCAGGCCTCTGTGCATCGCGCAAAAAAATGCACACCTCTCTCTGGATTGCGTTGGCCTGGGATGGACTCTGGGAAGAGGCCCCAAGGCCCCGCAAGCCACACCCCCTGTTTGGGTCTCTCCGACAAGAACCGTAGAGCTTGGCCGAAGACTGCCCAATTCCTCTGGGTAGCCCCGGGGGCCTCCAAGAATCCCCAGGAGGGTACAGCGCGGGCTTCAGAGAGCCACAGTCGCACGCCGGATGTTCCGAGAGACGCCACAGGGAACCCCAGGAAAGTGCACCATCTGCGTAGCAGCCCAGCCAATGTGATGCGTTTTCTCTGTCTTCTCCTAGTTCAGGGAGTCTCTTCGAGAAGATATCGCGCATCATCTGTCCGTTTTTCTTGGTCGACGACATGGCGGCGGCGCGAGCGGGGCAAGCGCCTCCTCTTTTCGAAACGGCCGGGGCGCAACGCGCGCTCCAATGTCAGTCGGGCTCGCCGCCTCCTTCGACGGATAAGGCGCCTCGTGCTGAACGCCCGCAGCGGCGGGCGGGCGGGCGATGGCGCGGCGCAAGCAGGGCCGAACGGCGCCGACCCCGCCCGAGTCGGGCGCCAGGAGCCGAGCCCTCGCGCGCCAGCCCTCGGCACGCCGCGCCCGGAAGCGCCGGCCCCAGAAAAAAATCCGCGGCGCTCGCTATCCGCGCGGCGCCTACACCTGCCAGGCCCCACTTGGTTCGACGGGCCCGCGGGGTGCCCCGGCGCGGACCAACCAGTCGCGCAAGCGTCGGCGCGGCTCGCGACGACCTCGATAGAATCTTACTCCAGCCGCCGCGCTAGTCCCCTTTGTTCCGCGTCTTCTCTGATACGTAGACCCACGGAGACTAATCGCGCTGGCCCTTCCGCCGTCTAGACTCGTCGCCCAATTGATCTTCGCGCCGTGCGCTCCCGGAGCCGCGCTGACTACCGTTAGCGCCGCCAACCTCACTGCGCTCATCGCGCCCGCTCCAAGTCCAATCGCCGCCGCCCGCTCTGCTGGTTCCATGGTCTCGGCAGCGCCGCGTCTCTTCATCTGCCTCGCGAGCATTTCTTCGATCGCCCCCCGAGCGACGCGGCAAGCGGGGGGGCCCCTCGCGACCTCTCGCGGTGGGCCGATGCAGATGCGACCTGCCAGCCGCGGGCGCGGCCGCTGCGTGCGCGGCGGGGGACTGGCGCTTCGCGTCGGGGGGGCCCCGCGCCAGCCGCGCGCCCATCGCTGCGCGCCGCGCGGCGCGCCCGCTCGCGACGAACCAGCCTCGCCAAGGAACCGCTCCTGCACTGGCAGCGCACGTCGAGGAGTCGCCCCATGTCTTTCCCGGCGAGATGGGCCGATGCCCCAACCTTTTTCAGCTGGGTCGGGGGCCAACTACCCGTCGGCGATGTTTCTCGCGGAACATTCGCCGGCCCACTTTTCATCGCAAAGCGTCTGTGCGTCGACCGAGGCATAGTCGCGGGGCGCCAGATCCAATTGCCAATCGCTGATCACAGTGGCACGGTCGGCGCTCACGCCCGAGATTTCTACGATCACGTCAGCGACCCTTCGCGCGCGCAGTCCCCGGTCAGCACATGCGGCCCAAGGCTCGCTCTTTGCCCATCCCACCTGGAGGTGGTTCGACTCTTCCGCGGTCGCGTGCTCGACCCCCCGCGAAATATTCGCCTGCGTGAGACAGATGCAGACGCCACTGCTCCGCGCTGCCGGCCAGAAACTGGCGCTTGTTCCACCCATTTGGGCTTCCCCGCTGCAGCTGGCGATCCGGCAGGGACAAGGAAACGCCTTCGCAGAGATGCCCCTTCCCGCGCCGAGCGCAGGGGGCCCCAGACAAGCCGCGCGCCCGCAGTCAATGATCTACATCGTACTTTTCACTCCAGCAAAATCTGGCGCAGTCATCGCAGCCTCGAGCAATTCCAAGTCTGCCGTTCACCGGAGCACGCCACCCGCAGAAAGTGATGGCTGCATCCCTTCCCTGTTGAAGGCGCCATCAGAGCTGGCGCTGGGCTGGCTTCGCTCCGCTGGCCAACTGCGATATCCCAGTGGAAGTCCGATCGATGCTCTTTCCGACGGACTACTGATTTCAGCCCCCACCCACCGGATCGGTATCCCCCGCCCCCCCCGGGGCCGAATGAAATCCCCATCGAATGCTTCCAGGGGGTCAGGGTCGCGGCGGCATCGAACGGCGACAACTAAATGGCGAAGGTCAGGGCACAACGAAATCACGCCCCTCTCCGTCGCCGTCTGCGCCCAGCATGCTAGCCCTAGCGCGGCTTTGAAACTCCTTGGCCAGCTTGCCCAATGTCCTTAGGAATCGTGAGATCACACCGCGGGTCGAGTCTCTCCGAAGTCCGGCGCCCACGCCGGGTGGAAAACAGCTAGATACCCCCCCCCCCCCCATTCCGCGCTCAGGGCGCGAGCAGCGTGGCCCGAACGAAGCGGCCCACATTTGCGCGGCCTGTTGCCTTCTGTTCTAAACCCTTCGCTTTCGCGCGACAATTTTGTTTGTTCCGATGCCCTGTCTGAGCTGTGCCTTCTGAAATGGCCGCATCGACAATGGGCCGCCGCCGCGCCCGAGTCAGCTGCGCCGGCCGCCAGTTCCACGGGCGCCACGGGCGCTGACCGCTGGCGCCCCCGACGCTGCAGCGCGCGTTCTGGTTCGGAACGGCCCCGAGTCGCCGCTGACTGCAACGGCAACGCGAGCCACTCTCATGTCTCCACGGAACCATTCCTGCCATGGGCTCCCGGACCCAAACTGCCATGATTGTCTTTGAATCTCTTCAAGAACTGCAGCACAGCTGGAGTTCGTCGCAGGTTCCGCGCGAACCTCGATGGGATTGCGATCGCATCTGTTCAACCACGCTGGTTTCCAACCTTCAGACCACATCCCACATGCAGCAGACACCTCGTGAAAGCTTGGTCACATTTCACATGGGATTCCCCCGCTAAGCTCCAACCAATCGCGGCATTTGGCGCGTGCTCCGAGCACGAAAACCACTGGGATCTCTGCGCCCTCAGTTTCGGGCTCTTGCAAATTCAGCCTTTTCCGTGGAATCGAACTGTCCCGCGGCGAGGCGGCCCTCCGAGGCCACCTCGAGCCAACGCTCGCCCTGGCCCCCATCGTCGAAGATGGCAGGAACGCCCCCAGAGGAAACCCCCCTGGTGGCGACTGCTCCAGAACACTTCTTCGCCGCATGAAAACGGCGATGTTTTCGGTCGCGGCGACGGGGGGTGGTAAGGTTGGTAAAACCGCGTGTGTGTGCCACCTCCGTTTTGGGCCTTTTACTTCTTTTGTACTTGACTTTCTTGTTGATTCTTGTTTGTTGACACTTGATTTACTCCATGTGTAGCAGATTGCAAATTGATTCTTTTTGTGGCACGATGCGCACTGTTTCCGTTTGTGGCGCGATTACAAAGGGGATCTTTTTGTAGTGACTTACACATTGTTTCCTTTTGTGGCGGATTGCAAAAAGACTCCTTTTGTGAAGGATTACGAAGGGATTGCTTTTGTAGAGGATTACAAATTGATTTCCTTTTGTGGCAAGCCCAGCCGGTCGTGACCCAAGTCCCAAAAGAAAGAAAACCTTACAAGCATTGAAAAGTGTGGAAATTATATGACTCTCAATCGCTTAAAGGTCTGGTGCAGAAAAAATAATTATAACAAAAAAAACACAAAAACTGCATGTTCCCTTTCCTGGGAGCCCAAACCATATACAGCACTGCATTTCCATACATCAGCTATCCAAAATGCTGTCATATATATATGTATATATATATATATGTGTATAAATGTGTATAGATATACATATATATAATAATAATAATACTGATATTAATAATACTAGCGGTTTGGGCTCTCACGAGGTTGGAAACCGTGTGTTTGTTATATATATATATATTGACCGTAAACCTTAAAAACGATTGAGAGTCGTATAATTCTCTTAAATTTCAATGGTTTCCATATTTTTTCTTTCGGGGCCCGGGTCGCTACCAGCTGGGTTGGCTACAAAAGGAGTCAAAGGCGCCCGCAGAGCACCCGCAAGGCACCCCAAAGACACTCCCAAATCTCCCCCCCCCCCCCCCCCAAGCGTTTATGAAACACATTCCCTTGACAAATGCGAAACGTAATATTGACACTTACAGATGCAGATACTATGTTCTGCGCTGAGCGATCTGGAAGCTCATCGTGCTCCGGCCCGCCCAAACGTTTACAAAACGTGCGCAAACATTTTCCTCTTCGCAATATCAGAAAGCTGTCGTGAGCAGCGGTCAGCGTTAGCAATGTTCTACTTTTCAATGTATCCAAATTGTTCGTATTTTTGGCTCCGTATCATTGAATTCTTTTGGTGATCGATTTCAAATGGATTCCTTCTGCGGCGGGTTGCAAATGGATTCCTCTTGTGGTGGATTACAAAGGGACCGCTTGAAGCCAAGTTGTTCCCATCGTCGCACATTTCAATCGCACGTGTAGCAATTTTCAAAGAGATGTCTTTTCTTGCAAGTTGGCGCGGGCGATTTGCGAATGCTTTTCGGGTGCGTGAAGGGTGCTGTGCAGGTGTCTTCGAAATGATATCCTTGGGCCGCTTGAAGCCGGATTGTTTTCATAGTCGCGCATTTCAATAGCACGTGACGCACTTTTCAAGAATATGTTTTGTTGTCCCACAACTTGGTGTGGGCGATTTGCGGGCGCCTTTCGGGTGCCTTGCGGGTGCGTAACGGGTGCTTTGCGGGCGCCTTAGCAATGATATCCTTGGGCCGCTTGAAGCTAAGTTGTTGTCATAGAAGCAAATTCCAATGATCGATGATGATCAAGGCCGAGCACCTTGAGCGAGGGCGGGCAGCGATTATCATGACGGACGAGGCGTTCGGCAGCTCGGGCGTTTGGCGGCGCCCTCTATGCCCTGTGAAACTAATTTCCTCGGTGCGGGCGGCCTCGCGAACATCTGGCCATTTTCCACCCACCTCAGAATTGGGCCATTCAATCTCAGAAGCTCGCCAAGCTTGTTTGGCGCCGCTGGGCATTCGACCGCGCCCGCGCCGTCCTGCTGCGCCCATTCTCTATTCAGCTCGCCCCCGAAAGCGGCCGGCGGGTTTGCGACGCCGCCCAGGACATGCGCTCTCAGCTACAGACTTCGCCGTCGCGGCCGCGATGCTCGCCTGGCATGCAGGGCGCGAATGCGAATGCTTGGTTCGGCAGGGCAATCATAGCGCTGCTTGACGTGGGCGACGCCCGTTGCATCCGCAGCGAAGACGGGCACGCGTACCGCTGGTTGCCAGCTGAGTACTGTTGTACCAACAGGTTCCTTGCGCGTTACCTGGCGGCGTTGGTCCATCCGACATCGAAGGGCACCGTCTCGCGAGTAGTTGTTTCTCTTCAAATCAAGCGCGGGCCCCGCTCGTTCCCCCTGCCGAAAATGGCAGAGATTCATCGCGTGATTGCAGAGAAACTGCTGGGGAATTACACAATCCAACGCGCTGTGTCACACTGCAGTGGAACGTTTGATAAGAGGGTGCTTGCAGTTGACGGTCGGTACAAGTCGCTGTTGTCAGTTTTATACCAAACGCCTTTCGGCAGCAAGCCAGTCGGCGATCATGGGCGCCAAGACGACCGCGTTCAATGCATTCTCAGCGTCAGATGCGGGGAGGCGGCATTGCGCGCGGAGCCAAAACCTTCAGAAGGCCTCCCCCGCAGACTTTCTGCGTTGAGAAAAGCGGTGCAGGATGAGGCACACAGCGTCCTCACCATCCATCGCGATCTCCCTGATTCCTTGGATTGCTCTGAAGTGTTTGCGCACTGTCCGAGGCTTCAGTGCGCGCGCAGAGACCCGCTGCACGTCGCCCTGAAGGTAGAACAGGCGTTCGGGGGAAAAGTGTCGCCGCGTTCGCTCGCGTCCCGTAGGGGTTTGGCGAAGTTCCGCCAGGGTTCTCCATTTGGCAAATCGCAATATTCTAAGAAGCGAAGAGGCAATGGCGAGTCGAATCTGGGAAGCACGATTTCGCCCATGGCCCCTGGGCGCGCCAGGCACCTCCTTGGACAGATTGCGAGCCCTACAAACCAAGCGAGGCCGTGCGCGATTATGGATCATTTTGCGCGCGGCATTGCTGCCATCTGTTTCGCGCGTCCTGCAGCAATGCGCCGCCGCGCAGAAAAGGGCGGCACTGTGCTTGCGTCGTTTAAGGGCGCTTCAGCTAAGCAGAGTCTCGGGCATTTAATGGGCGCATCTGTATTTGTGCATGCACACCCAGATGCTCCACGCATGCACGGCGCAACCTCGCCGGGGGCGTGCCCCAGCTGAAATCATGCTTCAAGAATGCGTTTCCCCAGGCGCGGCGCCGTGTATTGATCGCGTGCAAAATTGGCATGGTGGGCAAAATCTTCGGCGCCTGCGCGCGCACTGCACTCCCTGGCATGAACGCGCGGGGGCGTGAAGCCTTGCTTTCGTTATGTCAGGACCCACTTGCCTGCGACGTAGATGTCAGACGGAAGCCTCGCATCAAGATGAAAGCTGACCCCCGCGTCGCCGAAACTGAATTGCCGCCGAGCGCCAAGCGTCGCGCAAGCACTGAGCATGCGTTCAAATGAGGATCATTTTCTGATGACACGGTCGCAAGTGCAAAAACTGTTCCGTTTCTCATATCGCCATCATTGCAACAACGTCATCGCCGTTGCCATATCAATGACTTCGATGTACGGATCGTTGTTCATCAATTACCAGAAAGGTGGGATGGTGGGAACCTGATAGCGATTCCATGAGATCGTACCATCTGATACTCTGAAAACACACATGTACACACAAACGGTTTTATCAACTCCACCGGGGGGGGGGGGGGCGCGAAGCCGACGCCGAAACCCGACGCCCCGGATCTGCATATTTCTGTCCTTCTGATTGCACTCAACGCCAAGGCAAGGCCATGCAACGTTTCCATTTCCCCTCCATCAGGAGGGAAGATCCGCATTTCCTCAATGCAGGAGACGGCATGCCCGCTATGCGATCGGACCGACCAGGGAATCTAACTTCGCGCCGCCAGGCAAGCCCCCCATCCTTCATCGTCTCTGTCCCCCACGATGATACGACACATCGCCATTATCTGCAACCTTCCCGGAGTCGAGCGGACCTGGCAAAAAGCGCGCGTGATCATCGCCCTGGGGTCGCCAATTCCATCTCCCTTCACGACGTCAGAGATTGGCAACTGTGGAAGAACAGCAACGCAGGAACCGCAGAAACAGTTCCCGGGCGTTATAGACCTCGTCGTTTCCGACATGCGGGCCCAGGTGATCGTTCTACCTCAGAGCGCGGAGCGTTCTGGGATAGATGAAGATGTCGTGCTATGTTTCGGAGCCACAGGCGAACTCATGACGGTCGCGCGCAACATCAGCGAGATGCATCGCTTGGTTCCCAACAGAGGTGGAGAGAGAGACCTCTCAACTATTGGTCCCTGGGAAGCACAGGGCCGGCAGTGGCGGCATGCGCAGCCAGGGCCCACCTTTCCAACCCTCAGCCCCGCCTGAGTAATCGATGGCTCGGGGGGGGTACCGCGACCTCGACCAAAATCGCTTCAAAGACTCACGGGGATCCGCGCATTTCTCCCATGTCACTTCGGGCTCGAAAACGGGCGCCCGCCACCGCGCATGCTAGCGTTCGGTGCTCATGTTGGCCAGTATCCGGAGCCGGTCTTTCTCAGTCGCATGGATGTCCAACTGGGCGCATTCCTTCTCTTCCTGACTACATGTGCATTCGCCGCCGCGCCTCTGGGCTCAGGGCGGGTGCGCCCTCGGGTCCTTTTGCCAAGTCCTCCACGCTACAATACTCACTCCTTAAAGGTTTTCAAGGGGCCCAGGCCCGAAATTCCTAAATATACCGGGCGTTGTCGCGCCTTGTCGCTTGACATTTTCGGCCCCCAGAAGGCTCCGAGACGGACCAGGAACGCCCCGAGAGGCCCCGCGACGGTCCAAGGGGGCCCCGGGTCGCCGAACGATCGTTCCAGGACGCCCGACATGGCCCCCAGGCAGCCAACGAGGCCCCCAAGACGCCCCAGGAGGCCCCAAGACGGCCCCCCGAGGCAAACAAAAATCATGAATTTTCCTTGTGTATCTTCTTTGTGGCTTTCAAGAGCTTGAGCGCTCTCGCCTCCTCGGCTCCCCGGGCGCTCCAAAACAGCCCGCGAGGCCTCAGGGATCGCCCCCCGGACGTCCCCACAGGCACCCGAGAGGCCCCGGGACGGCCCAAGTAGGGCCCCGAGACAGCGCAAGAGGCGCCCACGAAGGCCCAGTAGGGCCCAAGGATTGTGGTGTTCCCATGGCACTTAAGGGTCACATCCCATCAATAATGTCGAGCACCCAGAAAAATGTCGACACAGTGTAACAAGAGGGTCGCCTCCCAAAGCCCGACACGTGAAACCCGTCAAATTTCTGTGCGATCCTGGTGTTCGAGATTCTTTCTGGTGGTCAAGACTAAATCAGGTTGGAACATCATAACCAAAAGGACGGCCCCAAGAGGGGGCCCAGACGGGAAGCCCGAACTTACATTTTGAGCCCTCGGCCCCGAGGGACCCCCAGGAGGCCCCACGAAGCCGCCGAGAGGTCACCCCTCCTCTGGCCGCCCCCAGCCTCCCCTGCTGTTCTCCTCTTCTCACCTAACCACGGGGCATCCTTCTCGCTCAAAGAGCATGTGCCAGGTTGACTTGGAACGAAGAGTGCCAAACTGGTAATTCGGAGATCTGTTTGATCGTCTTTGATGTTTTCTTTAAAACGCTCCCGAACACGTCCGAACTCGTTATGGTTCATTTCAAACTACTTCGACAGCGAAGCCTGGAAATAGCCAGAGGCCTCGCATCGAATTGGCACGAAGAGTCTCTTTCGGTCCTCGTCGATATCTTCGGCATCACGCCTCTCCCTGTGGATTGGGACGCAGGTCTCAGAAACGCAGCGCCATTCCGCTGATCCCGAGGAGCTCTGGCAGACGACGGGCGATCTCGGACAGCGATCCGAAGACGCTCTGGCCCACCAGCCATATGCGCGTGCCCCTCGAGTCGGCATGGCCACGGTGTCGAGCTGCTCGGCGAGTTTGTGGAAATAGTCGGGCTCACGAGCCAGAGAGGCCTGACCCTCAGTGGGCGGCTTGGGTGGGTGGCCGGCCACGCGCCTAACGGCAGGGTCGCGGTCGAGGTCCGCCGTGATGGTTCACGTACTCACCCCAAGCCAAGGACGATGACTACGAGCCCGAGGCCATCGCCTTGGATCCCGTCAACGTGGTCTGGTTCGACTATGGCCCCACGAACGAGACTCTTGCTGCTTTCGACATGGATGAGCTCTACGGGTACAGGCCGGAACACTGGACGCATTCGAGGAGGAGGAAGAGGAGGAGGAGGAGGAGGACGAGTCCGTGGACGAGGCGGAGGCCTTGGACTCCCTGGACGAGAGCCCCATTGCAGGCGCAGCCGCGTCTAGCTCAGGAGGCCCAGTTGCCGGTTCAGCTTCCCAGCCTTCCGCTGCGAAGCCTTCCGAGGCCTGCTCGTCCACCGCCCTGCCCGACACCGACATGCCTGCCTGCCCCTGCGAGGTGGTCTGCATCCGCTACTTCTCGAAAGGTGGCTGTAAAGCGGGAGGGCGTTGCCAACTGTGCCATGACGAATCCCATCGCGGGACGCCGCAGGCTAAGTCCAAGCGGCGCCAGACGTGAGCTCGGACAGCTAGTCCTGGGCACCACTGATTTTACCTTGTACTGTTTTATTTTCTGCTGATCTTCCTTGACAATGCATGCCCAGTACGCTTTGTGATGTTCTGGCGGTTGGCCGCGGAGTCTCACGTCTTTCCTGTGGCTGGATTACGACGCGTGGTGGGAAGCTCCCCTTCACTGGGGCAACACACCGCCCCTGGGATACCTCTGTGCTTGTCGTGGTTGAGCTCGTGGGCGAGATGGTGGTGGGTGTCTGTTGGGACGATGCCGCTTCTCTTTATCCCCAATGGTTGTGGTCTCGTACCAATTAACCGGGTCAGCAGGGTGGCCACGGTATCGAGGCTACTGGGAGGAAAGCGCAGGGACCAAGCCGCACTCCCGGGGAACAATGTCAGGGGGGGTCCGCCGAGTGGGGGGCGGGGGGGGGGAAACGGCGAGCTCGAGTCGGCGACACGTCGCCCATGGATTGGCGACGGGCCCTCGACTGCGAAGTCGCACGCTCCTGGGCGGGGTGGCTCCTCGGCCCCCCCCCTCGGGGGGTTCTTGGCGGTGGGGGTCGGTGCGGCCTCCCCCCTCCCCATTCGAAGGCTGCCCCGGAGTGAACGGGGCACGAGCCGCCCTCCCTCCCCCCTGCAGTCAGGTCGGGTTGGTCCTCAGACAGACGGATGTTGGACGAAAAGTTGAGCATCTGCCAAGCATTTTCAAACATGGTCAAACATGTTCACAAAGATACAAGAAGAATTGTCCCCACACTGTTTGAAACTCTTTTTGGGTTCTTCTCCTGTAGAGGGGCAGGCCCGACTCAACCCTCGGGTCGAACCGATGCATCCCACCTCCAACGTTGCCCCTCCAACGTTACCCTCCCCGCTCCCAGGTTTCCCCAGGAGCCGCGCGCGGGCTCGGCGGCGGTTCCTTGCGCTCCGCCTTGGCGGTGGACGCCGCCTGCCTCGCCGCCGCGATCTCCCTCTCGACCTGCGCGCGCGCGTAGAGGGCCCATCGGGCCTCTGTGGGGGTGCCTTCCAGGAGGCACAGAAGGCCTCAGAGGCGACGACGACAAGGGCGCATTGCCCAAGGGGGGGGGGCCAATGCATGTGGCCGATCCCAGAAACTACGTGGAGACCTCCTAGATGGGGTCTGTGTGGATGGGGTCGGAGGATCTCGCCGCATCGCTGACACGATGCATCGGCGATGCCATGGCGACGTCGGCGACGAATCGGCGACGTCGGCGCCGAGAAAATTGAGCCCAACATCGGGCCGCACCGGCGACGCACGACCCTCCGACCCCATCTACTCCGACCCCGTTGAGGAGACCTGGAAAAAATCCTGAACCTTCCACCCGCCTACGGCGGGCGGAGCCGCTCTCGCTTCACTTCCGCTGGCCCCCGTAGACCTCCTCCTCCTCCACCTCCATCTCCTCCTCCTCCTCCTCCTCCTCCTCCTCCTCCTCCTCCTCCTCCTCCTCCTCCTCTTCCTCCTCCTCCTCCTCCTCCTCCTCCTCCTCCTCCTCCCCCTCCCCCTCCCCCTCCCCGAGATCACCGCGTTCGTGGGCCCCAGGTACCTGCAGGAGCGCAACATTCTCAGCGAGGCGATCTGGCCCACGAGGTCTTTGGTAGCCGGCTCTGCCAGAGGCGTGGGATTGGCGAAGCTGTTCTTGCACCCGATATTAGATAGGGCGCATCGGAGGGCGCCGCAAGCTTCGCTGTGGACATTCGTGGACGACACGGTGGCGAGGCAAGAAGGTAGCAGGCAAACAGTCGGCGACGGCATCATCCAGGTCACGGAGATCATCACGGACGGCCTCAAGGAGCAGAGGATGAAGATCTCCAGCAAGTCGGTCCTGATAGGCACCCACCCGAAGGACGTGAAGCGGACGGCTAAGACCATGAGGAAGAGGCAGATCCCCGTCTACGCAGTCACGGAGGCAGTGGACCTAGGCCTGGACTCGTCGGCAGGGAGGAAAAGGGTTACGACCAAAGCAAAGCAGCGTGCCAAGCGCGCGAAGCACAGGTTCGCCAAGATTGTGAGGCTGCGACGTACCGCGGCCTTGGCCAAAGAAAGTAAAAGTTTATGGAGTGCTGGAGCAGTACCACAGGCAGTGTACGGTCACCAAGCGTTCGGGTTCGCAGTTCATGAGCTTCAACGGCTACGACGACAAGCTGGACAGGTGGCAGGAGGTAAGGCGCGTGGGCGGTGCTTGACGACGACACTGGCGGTCGAGTTGTGGAAGGGCGACCCAGGGGTGGCAATACGAGGTGCCGTAGTCAAGGAGTGGATCAACCTGTGGCAGCGCTACCCCGAGAACCACGCCAGGATCGTCAAGGCATGGCCGCGGATCTTCGACCGTCTGTCAAAGCTTGGACCAAAACGCTGGAGAGGAGTTCGCGGACCAGTCGGAGCGGTACAGGCGACCATCATGGACGTGGGCTGGTACGCACCAACGGCGACGGTGTGGATGCGACCAGTCGGAGCAGATGAAGATCCAGCAGAACAGTGGGACATCCCGTCCGTTATGGACGGCACATTCGACAACACGGGGTGCTTCCAGCAGCTGATAGACGACTTCGAGGACGACATCGTAGCTCAATACTGGAAGGCTGCAGCAGCACACCCACATGGTGAAGGCTTGGAAGATGGAGCAGATGTTTGGCAGATCCGCGCAGAGCAGCGGAGGTTCGAGAAGCAGGGGCAGCTGGACATGGTGGGGGCCAACATCGCCGTGGTTGCGGGAGGACAGTGGCCGAAGCAGCGATCCGTCGACCAAGGCTACCTCCTGGACTGCAAGAAGTGCGACAGATGCAAGGAGGAGGACGAGACCCTGATGCATCGGATCTGGCTATGCCCAAAGAACGTGGACCACGAGGACTTCACCAAGTCGGAGCCCCTGCTGCCGGCTGCGATGGCGCAAGCAGAAGCTGAGCCTGCGCTGTGGCTTCGAGGACTGCCGCCAGCCTCTCTCACGCACCCTAGGTTTAATGATGAACTTTTAGAGGGGAGGGAGGTTCGGTTTGGTGAGCTGGGGGACTGGGAGGAGTGTCGGCACGAAGGAGAGATCCACATTTTCGGCGACGGCTCAGGAGGCAAGCACTCCTCGGACCCCCGCCGTCGCCGCTGTGGATCAGCGATTGTAGCATTGCAGGAGCGCGACGGGGAGTGGATTGTGGGTCGAGCCGTAGCAGTCCCACTCCTCGGTCGCAGGCAAACGGTCCCCCGCTCTGAAATTCTAGCGTTCGGATTGGCGCTCGAAGAGTGCCACGCTGATTTTACGTTCATTACCGATCACAGATTGATCGCGAAAACCTGGAAGTACCGCCTGGAGCACCCGAAAGCCACGGGTCCCAACGAGGACCTTTGGACCCGAGCCAGAGTTGCCTGGCAGACTCACCCAGACCGAGTTGTGAAGGTAGTGTGGACGGCGTCCCATCTGGATGAGACGCCAGAGCTGCTTGGATCGCCGCAGCAGCTGTTCATGGCAGCAGGGAATTTAGCTGCTGACGTCTGGGCGGGAGTCGGGGCGGAGCTGGCTTGGGAGTTCGGGCTGGTGGGGAGGGTTCCTGAGACTGATAGGATAGACTCGATCGCACATCTCGTGCGGAAACGAGCGCGCAGATCGTTGCTTCTTGCCGCTGCGTCGGAGACGTCAGAGCGCGCAGGTAGAGCCCCAGCCAGTAAGAGACTTTCAAAGCAGGAGAGACTGATTCGAGATTCTCCCCATCAGCTTGAGAGAGTAGGAAGCAAATGGAGGTGCTCTCAGTGCGATGTGATTGTGACTGGAGCCAGGTTTTTGCGTTTTTCGGTTTCCCCGTGTGCTGGGCCCCCTGGCAAAAGCAGGTCGGAGGCCCCTGAGTTCCAGCCGATAAACGGAGTGGACCTCGAGACCCACGAATCCCACTCGATCACCAGGGTCGACCGTTGGTTCTTGCAGATCTGTTCGGTCTGCGGGATGTATGCGACTGTGGACTCGAGGTCCTTGCGTCAGAAGTGTAGAGGTCTCACACCGAACGGTGCCGAGAATATCCGACGAATTGAATTAGGCCTTTTTCCTCGGCGTGAGGGGCCCCCCAGAGCCATCAAGATGGCCATTGCTCGCAGAGATGAGAGTCGTGTCGTGTCGGCCCACGAGGCCAGGGGGTCGCAGGAGAACAGCGAGCTTGCGGGGGGCCCCGCCGAGCCTCCCGTGGTGACCCGCGCCCGCAACGACGGGCATGAGCGGGAGCAGCTGCGTTGTGCAGCCCACGAGTTGCGCACGCAGGCGAAGGTTCAGAGATTGTTGGCAGCAGCGAGAGGTACGACTGTGCATGTGCGGGCGCCGCGGGAGGATTCAGGGTCTTCCGATTGACGGCATACGCCCGTAAGCCAGGACGAAGACTGGGGGACAGAGGTCCGAGAGCAAAGAGGTCCAAAGAGGTCCTCCTCTTCCTCCTCCTCCTCCTCCTTCTCCTCCTCCTCCTCCTCCTCCTCCTTTCCCTCCTTTCCCTCCTTTCCCTCCTTTCCCTCCTCCGCCTCCTCCTCCTCCTCCTCCTGCTGCTGCTCCTCCTCCTCCTCCTCCTCCTCCTCCTCCTCCTCCTCCTCCTCCTCCTCTTGCTCCTCCGATCGATCCTTCGATCCTCGAAGGCATAGGTCCTTTCTGGAGCGCGCCGCGTGTGCAATGCCGCCGGCGGCCCACGTTCTCGGCGAGCCGCTCCCGCGAACTGCAGAACAAGTGGCACGCGTGCCCTGGCTCTTGCAGAAAGGAGCTGCGAAGAAATGGAGGCCCGGCCCCGGGGGGCTGCCCTGGGCGGAGGGGAAGCCTGGGCGGAGGGGGAGCCTGAGCCCCAGCTCCCCTGTGCCACACACCCTTCGGAGTCATGCTCCGTCCAGGCTTCCCAGGGCAGGCCCCCCCGGGCCGCGGACATCCTCATTTTCGTCGTGGTTCGTGGTTCGTCGTGGTTCGCCCCCCTCGGCCCCGTCCCTGAGCCTGACCCCCCTTCCCCTGGGCCACCCCCCCTTGGGACCCGCCCTCCGTCCAAGCTTCCCAGGGCAGCCCCCATGGGCCGGACATCTATAAATTTCGTCGTGGTTCGTGGCTCGTGGTGGTTCGTCCCCCTCGCCCCCCCCCGTGAGCCTGAGCCCCAGCCCCCCTGGGCCACCCACCCTTCGGAGGCTTGCTCCGTCCAAGTTTCCCAGGACAGCCCCCCTGGGCCGCAGACACCTTATTTTCGTCGTGGTTCGTGGTCCGTCGTGGTTCGTCCCCCTCGGCCCCTCACCTGAGCCTGAGCCCCGGCTCCCGTGGGCCACCCCCCCTTGGGACCCAACGGAAGGGCCGAAGGGGACGAACCATGCACCACGAATCACGAACCACGACGAAAATAAAAATGTCCGGCCCCGGGGGGCACTGGGAAGCCTGAGCGGACGAGGGTCCCAAGGGTGGGTGGCCCAGGGGAGCTGGGGCTCAGGCTCAGGGGAAGGGCCGACGGGCACGAACCACGACGAACCACGAACCACGACGAAAATAAGGGCGTCCGCGGCCCAGGGGGGCTGTCCTGGGAAGCCTGGGCGGAGGGCGGGTCCCAAAGGGGGGTGGCCCACGGGAGCCGGGGCTCAGGCTCAGGGGAGGGCCGATGGGGGACGAACCGCGACGAATCACGAACCACGACGAAAATAAGGACGTCTGCGGCCCAGGGGGGCTGTCCTGGGAAGCCTGGACGGAGGAAGCCTTCGAAGGGTGGGTGGCCCAGGGGAGCTGGGGCTCAGGCTCGGAGGAGGGGCCGAGGGGGACGAACCACCGCGAACCACGAACCACGACGAAAGTAAAGATGTCCGAGCTCTAGAACACAGCTGTGCAAGATAACTAATCGTTGCTCATGGAGGGCTGCTCGCATCCATCGTCGCTTTCAGGAGCATCATATCGCTGGCACCGCGGACGCAACAGGGCCGGCACGACTTGGGGCGGCTCATTCAATTACGCTGCCGAAAAACCCCACATACTTAAATATTTCCGGCGCGATGATCGCTGACGAGAAACTTGCGAGAATGATGAAGGCGAGCGGTTCAGCATACCTAGCCAAACGCTGCCCCCATGGTTTCGTCGGCGCCTCGTTTACGCGGCAACTCAGTGTACATGGTGAGGAGCGTGTCACGCCACCAGCTTGCCAGCTGTAGGTGGTAAATATCACATGCGCCGCGTACCAAGGCGTTCCCATGCCACACCGCATGGCCGCGCAAACCATCCAGGTTCACCTCGGCGCTCATCTCTAGCAATGAATTCCTGAGTTGCTCGAGCGGCGGTGGAAAAACTGGCATTGTGTATTTGGGCGCCGCGGTGAGAGACCACCCCCTGCGCACCCCCTTTTGGTGCCGACAAAATGTCGAACCTGCTATGCCATCCCAAGATGCGCGCATAGCGGCCGCGGTGGGAGACAAACCCCCACGCACCCCATATGGTGTCGAGAAGATGCCACGCCTGCTGCGCCTGGACGACCAGCGCGCATAGCGGCCGCGGTGAGAAACCAGCCCCCTGCGCACACCCTCTGGTGTCGAGAAAGTGCCACGCCTGCTATGCCCTAGACGGGAAACACGCATAGCGGCCGCACTGGAAGACCACCCCTTGCGCACCCCCAGCGGCGTCGAGAAAATGCCACGCTTGCGGTGCCTGGACAAGAGGCGCGCATAGCGGCCGCGGTGAGAACCCGCCCCCCCTGCGCACCCCTTTTATGGTGTCGAGAAAGTGCCACTCCTGCTATGTCCTCGACGAGAGGCGCGCGTAGCGGCCGCGGTGAGAGACCACCCCCTGCGCACCCCTTCTGGTGTCGAGACAGTGCCACGCATGCTGTGCCCTCTCAAGATGCGCGCATAGCGGCCGCGGTGAGAAACCACCCTCTGCGCACCCCCCTCTGCTGTCGAGGAAGTGCAACGCCTGCGGTGCCTAGTCGACGAGGCGCGCATAGCGGCCGCGGTGAGAGACCACCTCCTGCGCACCCCGTATGGTGTCGAGGAAGTGCCAAGCCTGTCTGGTGCCGAGAACATACCACGCCTGCTATGCCCTGGGCGAAAGGCACGCATAGATGCCGCGGGGAAAGGCAGCCATCTGCACACCCCCTCTGGTGTCGAGACAATTCCACGCATGCGATGCCTGGACGAGAGGCGCGCATAGCGGCCGCGGTGAGAGACCACCCCCTGCGCACCCCCTTTATGGTGTCGAGAAGGTGCCACGCCTGCTATGTCCTGGACGGGAGGCGCGCATAGCGGCCACGGTGATAGACCACCCCCTGCGCACCCCTTCTGGTGCCGAGGATGTGTCACGCCAGCCATGGCCTGGACGAGAGGCGCGCATAGCGGCCGCGGTGAGAGACCTCCCCCTGCGCACCCCTTATGGTATCGAGAAAGTGCCACGCCTGCTATGCCCTCGACGAGAGGCGCGCGTAGCGGCCGCGGTGAGAGACCACCCCCTGCGCACCCCTTCTGGTGTCGAGACACTGCCACGCCTGCTGTGCCCTGGACGAGAGGCGCGCGTAGCGGCCGCGTTGAGAGACCACCCCCTGCGCACCCCTTATGGTGTCGAGAAAATGCCACGCCTGCGGTGCCCTGGACGAGGGTCGCGCATAGCGGCCGCGGTGAGAGACCACCCCCTGCGCACCCTTCATGGTGTCGAGAAAATACCACGCCTGCCATGCCCTTGACGAGAGGCGCGCATAGCGGCCGCGGTGAGAGACACCCCCTGCGCACCCCCAAATGGTGGCGAGGCGTCTGTTTCTGATGTGGGGTTCCTGCCACGCCCTGTCTGCGTGTGTGCGCATGCGCGCGGCGGTATGTAGACGCGTGCATCATGTAATTACGTGCCCTGCATGCGTTGCGCGTGGGTGGGTGGAGAACGCAAGAGGAGAGGGAAGAGGGATGAGGGAGTTGTGAGGAAGACGCGGGTGCGACGCGGGTGCGACGCGGGTGGGAAGGAAACCATAACCCTATGAAACATGTGGGGAAGAAGACGGGGACAACTTCCTGGGGCACAGAAAGGGGGACCGCTGAGAATCCACCCTGACTTCTAGGACACCCCACCTCGAGCTCTTGACGCGCCGCGCCACCCCCTTGTGCAAACCACCAATTCTGACGCTCTCTGATAGGCTCTGGACGATGCTGACGTAAATGAAAAAATCTAAAGGTAACGATACCGCTACTCCCCGGACCTCTCCCAGGCCCCAGGGGTGCGTTCTGACCAGAATTTCGATGCGAATGCAACGGGGGCGACGAGGGCTGCCCTGGAGGCCCCAGCGAGGGGAACGCGGGCGAAGTCGAAGTGCAGCGGTATATGAGTACCTGTTTCTCCTTCGATTATGGACCAACTGCCCGCGCGGGATCCGTTGGAGGGCCCGGGCGCGACGGCAACGCAACGGAAAGGGTGCGGGATCTGAGGGCCCACCGAGAAAGGCCTCCAGCGGACCCTCCGTTGTGCATCTCCAGGGGCATCCGAGGGCGAGCGGATCCGCAAGAATACCCTCCGTTGCCCCCCGGTCCGACGTCGCGATCGATTCCTGCCCCCTCCTCCATTCACTGCTCCTCCTCCTCCTCCTCCTCCTCCTCCTCGAGACACTGCAGAGAGAACATGGCCATCCATGAACGCCGAACGAAAACGAAACGAATTACACCAACTCAACACGCCTGGTCGAGCAAATGGCAGCCTCCTCCTCCTCCTCCTCCTCCTCCTCCTCCTCCTCCACTGCTCCAGCCCCGTCCTCCGCTCGCGCCCCCTCCGGGCTGGCCCCTCGTCCGGGGCCGCTGTTTCGCGCTCCCAGGCCTCGGCACGAGCCACTGCGGACGACCGGCCGCCTCGATCTCTTTTCCCCCCTAAACGGCGGCGGGACCCGGGTTGCAAAAAACCCAGGCCTGGGAGCTGAGCAGGGACCGACCGTCCCGGCATTCCTAGAGGCCTACCACGACATGTTCTTAGAACCCCAAAGTATTCTAAGAACAAGAACAACGCTCTTAGAACTTGAACCAGATGTTCCAAAACAAAAAAAAACCCAACAGAAATGCTCTGAGAACATTTCGCGCAGGCCACAACAGGTGCAAGCACAGCTGGGCCTGAGGCGGAAGAGCACACCCTTCGAGGACACGAGACCCTCTGCCGGCACGAACCGAAGAGGATTCGAGGGTGCCCTCCCCCAGGATGCACGAGAACATCCAACAAGCACGAAGAATTACAACATAGAAAGACTCCAATCAGTGGATGGTTTGAAATCGTGGGGTCGATAAAAAGATCGATAAGGAGATCGACCAACGAACCAATGAACCCGGAACCCACCGAAATCGGCCCTGAACCAATAACCAAAAACCCAGCCCGGAACCGGGAACCCGGGAACCCAGCTGGCCACCAACATCGGCGGGAAACTTTCGCCAAATCTGTCAATTTCCGCTAGGACCCCTTCAGTGCAAGCACTGATTGGGGAAATAGGTTATACCCTCAGCGAACCGACCTCGATCTTGTACCTCGGTCCGACCGTGGCCTCAAGCGCCAGACAGGAAGATCCCACCATCGATCCCCAAGGGCCGCCGAAGGCCAGATCGCAGCAGGCGCCGCGCGCCAGTTGCCAAATGATCTCGCATGCGCGCGAGGCGCGTGCGCGCGCGCCTCGGCGATCTTGTCGGCGACGTCGCTGGCCTCCGCGAGGAGGTCGTCCTGCTGCCGCGGGCGTCGGTGGCCGCGCCGCATGCGCCGCATGCGCTCGGTCGCTGAGGTGTGGGCCTCGGGAAGGGCCCCCGAGCGGCACAATATGGCCCCAAGATGTCGCAAGGAAGACCGCCCCAGAAGACGGCCCCCAGACGGTCGAGACATCCCAACGGCTGCTCAAGGTTGGCACAGGACCAGCCCAAGAGTAGGTTTTGACCGTGGGCTGTGCCACGGCGCTTTGAGCGTGCGAGACACAACAGCGTGGGTGGCATCTAATACATGCCACGCTGTGGGAGTCCCCACACCGTGACATCAGTAGAGATGCCACGCTGTACAGATGCCACGCACTGGAGAGATGCCACGCTGAGCAGACGCCACGCTGAGCAGCCTGTAGAGATGCCACAGAGTGGAGAGATGTTACGTGTGCCAACAGTGTAGATGCAACACTGAGAGAGATGCTACACTGTGCCATCTGCACAGATACCACGCTGTGGAAATATCGCGGCGTAACATCTGCAGAGATACTACGCTGTTAGACCAAACCGTGGCATATGCAGAGATACCACGTTATCGGACCACAGCGTGGCATCGGTTAGACATGCCGAACTGCGACACCAACGTGACATCCAAATCTTAGTGGGCCCTGGAAACGACAGGGCCGTTTTTGTTACCGGTTCCGTTTTGCCGTGTTTTTGCCGGTTCCGACGCCGTTTTTTTACCGGTTCCGTCGCCGTTGTTTGACAGGTTCCGGTTCCGGTTCCAATCCTGGAGCCGTTTTTTTGCCGTTTCTGGTCGCCGTTTTTTTGCCGTTTCCATTTTTAAGGGGCATCTTTTTGGAAACGGTGAAAAAAACGGCCCTGCCGTTTCCGGGGCCCACAAATATCCAGACCACAGCGAGGCATTCGTCAAGCATGCCAATCTGAATGTCCACTGCCTCTCTGGACGGCCACAACGCGGCCTCGGCATCAACAACCATGCCATGCCGTGAGAGATGCTACGCTGGAGATCACAGCGTGGCATCTGCATAGATGCCACATTCGCACGCGCCACAGCGTCGCATCTGCAGGGATGCCACGCGGTGGAACAACAGCGTGGCATCTGTAAAGGTGCCACTCTATGGGCCACCACAGCGCGGCATCTAATGCAATGCCACAAGTTGGTTTCGCAGCCCGGCATCTGCAGAGATGCCACGCTTTGAGAGGCCGTGCGTTGGTGCCACAGCGTGGCAAGTGTCTGTACATGTGCTTTGCTGTGTGCTGTTTTTTGAGTCCGCAGCCTGGCATCTCACAGCGTGGTGCCTGTCCAGATTATATGTTTTGGTCGGCCAGCGTAGTATTCCTGCAGGTGCCACTATGTGGTATGACCACGTGGCAACCCACGGCATGGCATGTCTGCAGCGTGACCGCGGGCTTGGCGTATCTGCACATGCCACGCAATGACTCCGTAGACTAGCATCTCACAAGGCGCCTTATGCACAAATATCTTTGGATGTCCACGCGGTGGGCTAGCACTGTGACATGTATAACCGATGCCACGCTGTGGTCTGGCAGCGTGCTATTCTGCACATGCCACGCTGTGTTGCCACAATGTAGTATCGCTGCAGATACCATGCTGTGGTGCCACGAGCGGCAGGTGGTACAGCATCATATCTCTCCACAACGTGGCAGCTGTACAGCGAGGAAGAGCAGCAGGAGCATGAGGGGGATCAGGAGGAGCAGGAAAAACAAGAGATGCCACGCGATGGCCACTCTCACAGCGTAGCATCCGTGCAGCGTGGGGGACCACCAGGAGGAGGAGGCGGAGGAGGTCGAGAACCATCAGGAGAAGCAAGGGGCGGAGGAGGAGCAGGAGAAGGAGGAGGATGAGCAGGAGCGACAAAGAGGAGGAGAAAGAGCAAGAGCAGAAGGAGGCGCAGCAAGAGATGCCGCGTAATGATCACTCTCGCAACCTGGTATCCGAACAGCATGGAGCATCGGCACAAGCAGGAAGACAAGCAGGAGGAGGTACAGGAGGAGCAGCAGGAGGGGCATGTGGAAGAGCATCCCGAGGAACAAAAAGAGCAAACGAGGAGCAGGACGAGCAGCAGTAGGCGCAGGAGGAGCAGGAGGAGGAACAGGAGGAGCAAGAGGAGGACAAACAGGAGGAGCAGGAGGAGGAGGAGGAGGAGCACAGCAGCAGCACGAGGAGCAGGAGCAGGATCAAGAGGAACAACATGAAGATGCAGATACAGACGATGATGGTGATGATGATAATGATGATGCTGACGATGAGGAGGAGGAGGAAGAAGAAGAGGAGGAGAGGGAGGAGGAGGAGGAGGAGGAGGAGGAGGGGGAGGAGGGGAAGTGGGAGAAGGAGGGGGAAGAGGAGGAGGAGGAGGAGGAGGAGGAGGAGGAGGCGGAGGAGGAGGATGGGGGGGAAGAGGAGGGGCGGCAGGAAATGCCACGCTGTGGCCACTCTCACAGCGCGGCATCTGCACAGAGCAAAAACAAGAGATACCGTGCTGTGGCCACTCTCGCAACGCTGCCGATGTACAGCGTGGAAGAGCAGCTGGATCAACAGGACCAGAGGGAGGAACCGGAGGCTGGAAAGGACGCAAGAGGAGCTGGACATGCCAACTTGTGGCCACCTCCACTGCCTGGCACCCGTAATCGCAACATGGAACTTCACCGCCGGTAAAGGGAGAGTCAAGGGATGAGAGACGAACATTGGGGTGTGCAGCCCATCGGGTGAACCAATATTTGCAACGTGGAGGAAAATCAGGACCAGCAGCGTGAGAAGCAGGATCCGCAGGAGGAACAGGGAGGGAAATGCCACGCGATGGCCACGCTTGTTGCGTGGCAAACGCACGACGGTGGAGAGCCAACAATGGCAACAGGAGGAGCAGGTACAAACTGAACATGATGTGTCACGGCACCAACCGAGTGTCACCGTATGGTATCGCAACAGGTGACACAGAGTGGCATAGCAACAGGTGGCTCAGCGTAGCCAGTATCACTGCGTGGCATCTCTACAGGTGGCACGGCGTGGCATCTGTCTCCACGGCGCGGCATCTGGACAGCGCGGGCCAAACCAGAGCTCATGAGACCCGACGTTGGGACTGGGCGACAGAGCAATGGGGGAAACCCGTCGGATCTGGAGGCGTAATTAGCACAGTGGGCCATGGACGCAGGAGGAGGAAGGGGAGGAGGAGGAGGAGGAGGAGGAGGAGGAGGAGAAGGAGGAGAAGGGGGAGGAGGAGGAGGAGGAGGAGGACGAGGAGGAGGAGAAGGAGGAGGAGGAAAAGGAGGAAGAAGAGGAGGATGAGGAGAGGAGGAGGAGAGGAGAGGAGGAGGACGAGGAGGAGGAGAGGAGGAGGGAGAGGAGGAGGGGAGGAGAGGAGGAGGAGAAGGGGGAGGAGGAGGAGGAGGAGGAGGAGGAGGAGGAGGAGGAGGAGGAGGAGGGAAGGAGGAAGAAGAGGAGGATGAGGAGGAGGAGGAGAAAGAGGAGGAGGAGGACGAGGACGAGGAGGAGGAGGAGGAAGAGGGAGAGGAGGAGGGAGAGGAGAAGGAGGAGGAGGAGGAGTTGAGGAGAAGGAAGAGGTTCCAAATCGCGCGCAGCCGTTGCCCAGCCAGGCTTTCCCTCCTCACCCGCTCATCACCTCTCACCCCCTTCGCCTTCCTCCCCCAACCCTCGAGCCATGGAGGGGGACGCGGAGATGCTGGATGCCGCCGGGCGGGGCGGGGAGCAGGAAATGCAGGACGAGAACGGAACGGCCGCGGCCGCGCTTCCCGGAGCAGCCCAATTTGGCGGTGCACCTGGCGCCGCTGCTGCCCCGGGGAGCGCTGCCGGCGCCGCGCCTGCTGCCGCCGCTGCTGCGCCGCCCGCCGCTGCTGCACGACGCCGGGGTGGCTAGCCGCCAGACCATGTGGCGGCATGCTGCGCGTGCTGCTCGGGATTCGAGCCAGGGGCAATGCGCCTTGCGAGCCGGGCGAGCCCAGGCCAGCTCATCCGCCACCCAGCCTGCATCGCGGGCGGCGTGCCCCCGGGCTCGGTGGAGGGCTTGGCGGCGCTGCCAGAGGAGGCTCGCGTGGAGATCTTCGCTTGCACTGCGCCTCTGCCGGGGGCGGTCCCGCGCGAGGAGGACGACGCGCCCGCCAACGACGTCCACCCGCGGCACGTGCTGGCAGCGGAAGCGGGCGAGCTCCCGAGGCTGGAGTGGTGGGCCGGCTTCGACTTGAACGGTGCCTTGCGGGAGCCCGTGCCCACATGGACGGCGACGCCCCCGACCCTCGCCACGGCGGTCGCGGACGCGCTCGCCGCGGCGCTGCGCGCCGCCGCGGCGCGCCCCGTGAGCGAGGCGGCGTGGGCCCCGCTGCTCCTGCTCCCGAGGCTGCTGTTCGCGGTGCCCTCAGCCAGCGGCAGTCACGTGCGGCCGTCGGCCTACAAGAGGTTGCCACACCGCCTCCGCCAGGCTCGGGCGGGAGACGGGGCGGCACCGTGGGCCGCGCGGCCGACTCGCAGGCCCACGGGGTCGGAGTCCTGCAGCCTCCTGTCGCCAAACACGACGGTCCTCTTCTCGATGCCCTGCCGATGGTCTCCAGGCGTTCGGCCTACCTGAAGAGGAGGCCAGAGGTCGGGGCCAGGCTCAGAGTCAACCGTGGCAAAACATCAGACGAGTTGGATGGCGAGGATGGCCGAGCTGTTGTTTCACAGGGGGGGCCCTGTCGCAGGCCCCTGGCGGGTTGTGGCCCCTGCCAGGGTGACAAAAAAGGCCCTCTCTGAAGGGCACCCCTGGGGTTTTCGGCTGACTGTCGAACTTTCATATGTCCTCTCTCTTCAGTGGCGTGCGAGCCTCCTCCTCCTCCTCCTCCTCCTCCTCCTCGTAGTCCTCCTCCTCCTCCTCTTCCTCCTCCTCCTCTTCCTCCTCCTCGTAGTCTTCCTCCTCTTCCTCCTCTTCCTCCTCCTCCTCCTTGTCGTCTCGATGTTCTGCGTCAAGCTCTGGCCCCATTGTTTCACATCGTGATTTCCCG